CTAGAGGGAGAAATGTCTTGCAGCCTGACTGCATGAGAACTTTCAGGCCTGAAATTAGTCAAGCTAACCTTTTAATATGTGTGAGTGGCCGTAGAGAGCTGTATGAGGGTCATAGACCTTTTCTAAAATGTACTTGCTTTAGCATTTTGTGAAGCATACATTTTTGAAGCTTTCATTTGCTAGTGCTTACAAATATTGAACCCTTCCAAGGGGTAGTAAAAGTGCAGCAGAGAAGATTCTGTGGTCTGAATTTCCCCTGAAAGTATTTAACCACTAGGGCAATTTTGTAGATGTATCATCCTTTCTCCATCACAGTTCTGTTTTTCTATCATTCTGATGTGAGAACTGATAAAACTTCAAACATAAAGAAGAAGTTCTCTACAATGCCTCTGCCTTCTGTTTCTCCTTTTTTTTCCTCCCTTCCTCTTACCCCTCACCAATTGATGGTACAGAAATGAGGAGAAGTTTCTTAAACATTTTTGCTTATGTTTGACGATACATCTTAATTAGGCATGACAAAACTGTGAACTGATTCCATTTCCTATTCTTTGCTGGACAGAACTCTCTCATTCCTGTTCTGCAGCACTTGGTGCCTGTAAGGAGAAGAGGACCATTCTCTAACAGTTAAGCCAGAGACATAAAAAGAGTAATCATTAAAATCCTGCCATCCAGAGAAAGAGCCATTTATTGCCATAAAGATTAAAAAGTGCTATAGCTCTGGTTAGTAGTTATGTATGGAGTAATTTCCAATGAGTTGCTACCTGGGAATTCACAGTGCATTCACATCTGTTCCAAATGTTATTATTAAGTTACCTTTTCCATTATTCTTAAATTTTCCATTGAGAGTGGTGCTGCCAAGTATCCTGCTACAAGACATTTCCTGTTCATAAAGTAAATGTGGTAATTTCTTCTGTGGTAGACAGCCTGAATTACTTAGCACTGGCAAGAGTGAAGGTGGGCAATTTTCTATTGTATTTTGATGTTGTAGTTTATGCTGGATATAGCTGAAGTACTAATCTCTCTTCAAGCATCTCATAAAGGCCAGTGGGGCTCAGAACTCACAGATTTCACCTAAGTGCATAGAAATTGAAAACAAAATAGTTCAGGACTTAGGAAAATTGACATTAAGGGAATCTTGTACAATCTACCCTGAGTACAAAGCCTTGAGAAGGAACCCTTAATAGGAACTAAAAGGACATTTTCTCTTTTGGAGAAGATGTCAGCGTGGATGCAGGGGTCACTTGCTGCAAGCACTCCCCTTGGGATTGCAGGAATAAAGAGCTCCAGCAGACACAGACAAGCAGCGGTTGTGTCAGCTGTCCAAGCACGCTGTCACACCAAGCAGCTAAGGCAAAGCTTTGTTCTCAACAGAAGTGAGTACGTTTATTCTGACTCATTCTTGAAGCAGAGAGCATGACTTGCACACAGAGCTGTGTCTAGTTAGTTAGAACTAAATAGAGAGTGCTAGTGACACCAGCAGAGGTATTAGTTTATATCATTATCCGCTTCAGCACTGTCTCTGGAAAGTGGTCTTCCCCTTACATTGCTCCAATATGGCAGGAAATATTAAAACTGTTGCTCTAATGACCTGTTTTAGTTGAGACAGTAAAACAGTGCTTACTGGAGATGTATATTTTCTTTTCTGCTGGCAAATTCTGGCATTTCAGAAGACAAGTAAAGCTGATAACATGTGAAATACATGATACACAAGCCTGTCTGTAAAATCTTTGTACCAGCAACTTAAGCCAAAACATTAGGAAATGTCACATTCAAACAGACCAGAGAAGTAGCAGTAATTCTGGGTCTAAATGAAGAATCTGGTAACTATGGATTTGAATCAGAGGATGAGGACTACGGTCTTGTCTAAAACAAACCAAGAAGCAATGCAAAGTTGATCTTACCCCTCTCAGTCTTGGATTTTAGTATATGAGTTAGACACATGGTGGAAGAGAAACAAAAAGTGCCACAGTTCCACTGTGGAAGAAAGTATCTGATAGTGTTCTTGAACTCATTTCAAATCCCCAGATTTTGGAAGTTTGATCTTAAGAGCTATATACCATCAAAACTCAGAAATATTTGATAGTACAGCAGAAGTCCTGTAAATCATGGACGAAATGACTATTCGTGCCTGTGCAGGAAAGCTAGCAGATTTTTGCTGACTATTAGGTTCCAAGGCCACCTCATTTTTATTAAATCAAGTCTAGCTATGTTTGGTGATATCCAGATTGAAGGGTGGAACTAACCTGATCCTGTCTCCTTGCTTATGTTGTACTGCCCACATGATTGTTGCATGATCTGAAAATTTGCACTGCTGTGGTCTGGATGGCAAAAGGACATCAGAGAGGCCAGGAGAGGGATCAGAGTCCAGAACTTTCTTTGTAACATGTAGCCCTGACACCCTAAGTAAGAATCAGTATCAAACAACTCCCCATCTGGATGGTCATCATCTTCAGTTTGAAAGAGACCATAAAGAAAACTATTTCTATTTCACTATTTTGTTTCTAAGGAAATGTGTAGAAATCATCTTCTAAGCCTGCTACATGGTAGATGTTGAGAGGTGGGTTTTTTATTGTTGTTGTTGTTTTTTCTGCGTGTGTGTGTGTGAGGATTTTTGCTGGTATGTTTTTTTTTTCCACTCTCCAGGGTTTCATTCCCCTACTGACCTGTAGGCTATAACCCACTCTGATGCAAAACAGAATAACTTAGTTTGGAATGAAATTTTAATGGTCACCTTGTCCAAACACTTGCTCAGAGCAGTTCTAATCAGGTTAGTTAGTTTGTTCCCACTCCAGTCTAGAAAACCTCCAAGAACAGATGTTTCTCTGGGCAACTTGCTCTAGTGTTTGATCATCCCCCTTTCTTTTCCTGATACCTGATCAGAAGTACTCATGTTTCAGCTTATGCCCATTGCCTCCTGTTCAATCATTGTGCCCCACTGAGAAAGCTCTTGCACTTTCCCAATGTCCTCTGATCAGGTTACTGTAGACAGAAATAAAGCCTTCCCCAGAGCCTTTTCTTCTTGAGATGGAACAATTCCGGATCTTTCCGTATCTCTTTGTTTGTCGTATTCATCTGCCCCTGATAAGCTTGATGGCAGAAATTCAGAGTACCTCAATCTCTCCCCTGTCACTAGCTCCTCTGCCCTATTGATCAGTAGGCCCACATTCTCCCAAATATTCCTTTTGATACCAGTGTTCTTAGTGTACATTTTTGTCATGCTCTGTCTCCTCAATAGCTTAAACCCCATCGAAGCTTTGGCTTTTCTAACCCATTTCTACGCACACAGGAAATGTCTTTTCATCCCTCCCAGGTACAGTATTTCTACTTCCACCTTCTTCTTGCACCCTTTTTTGTATCTGAGCTCAGTCAGGAACTCTGTGTCCACCTACACTGGCCTTTGGCCAGCTTGCCTGATGTTCTACACATTGATGTGGATCATGTGCTCCGAGGAAGCTCTCCTTGAAGATCAGCCAGCGCTCACAGGCTTCTTCCTTCCAGGACAATTTCCTACAAGATCCTACAAGAAGATCCTGAACAAACAAATGCCTGCTCTTTTGCAGTCCAGGGTCTTGTATTCTCCTCAAGATACTAACCTCCATGAGTCTCACTGTCACTGCAGCAAAGCAGCACATCCACCCTCACCTGCAGTCCACTGCATCATCAGTCACCTGCAGCAAGGAACTGTCTTTAATATTAAAATTAAAAAATTGAAGTCTTAAAATCTTAAAAAATTAAAACATTAAAATCTCCTAAATTGGTTGTGCCCGGTCATACTGCCTTTCCAATAGATATCTGGATGGTTCCAGTCACAGATGACAGGGCTTGTGACTGACATTCCCTAAAGCTGCTTAAAGATGTTTTCACCTGGTTCCTTTTCATGATCATATGGTCAGCAGCAGATACCCACTACAGCATCACCTGCACTGTCCTCCCGCTCTTACCCACAAGCCTTCTGCTGGCTAATCACCTTTTCTGAGGCAAAACTCCATACGTACAACCCCCTTACACAGAGCCCAGCCTTTGTGTCACTGCTGTCGTCATGTCTTTCTTACATCCTTCCATTGCATCACTCTAGTCAAAAGAGCTATCCTACCACATCTCCACAATCTCTACAAGGTCTGAGCTCTGCAGCTGTGCATAGGCTGTCAGTCTGCTTGTTCCTCATGCTACATGCATTTCTGAACAGATCATTGGGAGGGTCCCAATCTATGTTTTCTTTTACTGGGCAAAGAGTGAGAATCTCCCCTGTCATGCTGTCTCTCAGAATGGATCCGCCACTTGTGCTCACACTTTTCTCTAGGTGATGGTGATTTATGGTTATGCTTCCTGGCACATTTAATGCAAAGCTTTTCTCAGTAAATTAGCAAACCGGTTAGAAAAGACACAGAAAGTCATGTTTTGTCAAACACATCCCATACATACTAGCTCAGTAGCCCTCATTCCTCAGAGGATTCTGCGTTTGCAGACACTTTTGACATTAGCCATGCTTCCAAGCCTTGACATACCAAATGAGTGTACTTCTGCACTGGATTGAGGAGACATCACTTCATCCTCTCTGCTGTCACCCACAGGGCTGCTTTAATTTGCTGCAGGTTACTCCTGGCAGCATCACGGATGTTTACATACTCTTTATTAAATCCTTATTAAGGAGAATGCAGAAGCACAAAGGCATGTAAAAAGTCTCAACAGGCATAGCTTTAAAACAAACAAACCAGCCTTTGCTTATTTTGCAATAAAACATTTTTAAAAGAATTCAATCTGAAATAATATTGAGAAAAAGTATAATAATAATAAACTTGAATAGATGTAGACTTGTGCACTATAGATCTGCCTACATTCTGTAGTACTGCAAAGATCTAACAAGCCTTTTTTTTTCAAAACTTAAACTTGCTTACAAAGTTCATTAAAATAAGTCATATGCCCCCCCAGATCTGGAAGCATTTCTGAGCTCCCATGCAATAATTAAGCCTTTCACCTTCATTTGCATTGTTCTGAAGCAGAAAATTAAGTTGGGAGAAGGAAGATGCTTATGGAGAAGAGCATGAAAAAGACAGAAGTATTAACTCTTGGAGAAAAACAGAAGCATCTACAGCAGAATAACATCAGTACTTTTAAGACTGCACAATCCAGACCGCAACGTGAATGTAAAAATGAGCACTTTTCAAATTCAAGCTGGAAAAGGTTCCCAGCCTTCTCTTAAACATAAAGCAGGCGATGCGAAGTATGACATTATATGAGAGTCAGGTACTGTAATTAATAGCAGCAGCCTTCCTCTTGGGTTTTTAATAAATATTTCTGTAAAATATAATAAAAACTGCAGTGTGATCATTGACAGAGTTTTTTTTCAACAAATGTAATGTTTAACCTAGTTTGTAGTCTATGTTGACTTTCAACCACTTCAGACTGTTGACCAATGCCTGAATTTAAAGACGGCATGCATTAAATATGGGCAAACTTCATTCTTTCCTGCCTTTACGTAACTGGAACCACAGGTAAAAACTAACCCTGGAAACCAGGTTGGTAAGAATGCATGATCAAGAAACGCCACCTGCTGTCTCCTGGACTACTATTCCAAAAAGCTGCTGGAGTATAAGGACATGGCACAAAACTCTTGTTTTCAATGAGGAAGAACATTTGAACACAATAAAGAAATATAAGTCCTTCTTTACATAACGGTAACCAAAAGAACCCTCAGATCCTCATTGCAGCTACGTACCATATAAAGTTTTAAGCAATATTTCATAAAGAAGTCTCTTGCACTGAAAGTTAGAAAAAACAGAGATACAGAATGGTTGAAAAGTATGTCTTATTATGTTCCAGATTGCTAACCAAAAACTTATATTAATTAAATTCCAGCATGGGCTTTTCTTTAATTCCAAGGTTCAACTTGATGAATACTCCGTATATGCAAAGTATAATTATTCTGCTGGTTACAATATTATACTATTGTTAACCTATTATTACTATTAGCCTATTCTCTGAGGCTTACTCCAAGAAGTGTTCAGTGGTAATTGAGTCCTTGACATTCCAAAACCCCTGATCTCCACAATCTTTGAAGTGTTTGCCTATCATTAGACAAGTTTGGTTTCCTGAGCTTTAGCACTAGAAACTGGAAAAAGAAGCCTACTACACCTTAACACACCAAATTAAGCACACAGTTGAAGACTCCTGCACAAAAGCCAGAGTGCTCAACACCCTGACACACAAAAGCTAAATTTATGACACAGATAGATACAAATCCAGGCATTCTGGTTCAACAAGACACTGGGCAGTTTGCATGGAACAAGATTTTGTTTAAATCAGCTGCATAAGTACTGGATGTTGTTGTCTTCTCTACCTTTTTACCTAAGGGAGGATATTATCAATGTACTTATTATCAAAGTGCTTCTGGATCAACCTTCAATATTCTAATGCTTACCTCTGTCTTAATTTTGTTTGTGTTCCTTTGAACTTACCCTTTAGTCCTGTGTGGCTGCCCACCTTCTTTTTCCTCTGAAGTATTGCTGGTTATCTAAGTATCAAGGTTTTCCATGCTGCTCACTGCATAGGCCTGTAACCTGACTGACAGCGAGGAACACCAGCCTCACTGCCTCACTTCAGACATCTGCACTCTCTGCTGGTCCTCTTCAGCTGTGGAAGGGGCATAGTGCAGGAACCCAATGTAGGGCTTTTTCAATGGTATGTTTTGCTACCAATGTTCCTTATATGCACATTGCTCGAGTGGTACTGTCTGACACAGGCCTGTGATGGATCTAGCTTCCTCTTTGGAGGATGGAGTTCCTTTAAAATAAATCATCATCTTTATAGCCTGCTTAAATAAATCAGTCTGAGAAAGCAAGCAGTCAAGAGAACACTGAATAGAAAATGTCAGCTGTAATGACAGTGAATTCTAACAGAAACTGTCATTATTTCAATTGCAGGTGGGATACAGCCTCAGACAGGATCGTAACCATTCAGAAAAAGATAAACACAAATACGCACTTCTCAGTCCTAGGACAAACCAGCCTCCTGCAATTAATCCTGCAATTAAAACATGCTTTAAAGTGCCAATTAAGGAAATTAAATGGTATTGACCTTATGCATTTGAAATGTAACAAGTTAAATAGTTAAAACTATCTTCTGTTGTATATGAAAATGTAGTTTCACACAGAATCACAGAATAGTAGGGGTTGGAAGGGACCTCCAGAGATCATCGAGTCCAACCCCCCTGCCAAAGCAGGTTCCCTACACCAGGTCGCACAGGTCGGCATCCAGGCAGGTCTTGAACATCTCCAGAGAAGGAGACTCCACCACCACCCTGGGCAGCCTGTTCCAGTGCTCCGTCACCCTCACCGTAAAGAAGAATGTTTCATGTAAAATAGTTTTATCTAATGGCAGCCACAACCTGAATAAATTCAAAAGCAGTGCTCTCGTTTCATTTATCTGAAATTAATCTCTGCCACACTGCAATTAGCCTTTACAAGTCCTGTATCAAACTTATTTACGAAGAAAAGATTGGGAGCTACTTCTTCATTTTATTGTATTGGAAGTCTTGAAAGAAATTCCAGCTGAAGCCAATTAGAACTGTAAAAAATCTGTAAAATCCTAGATTATGAGTGAAACTACAGGTCATATAACATTATAATGAATATTCCAAAATTTAGTAATTCCAAAAATCAGCTGTATTCTTATACTAATGTAAGTAGTATTTTTACCTGCACAATCACTGATAAAAGCATGCACACTTACAACAAAATTCTGACAAAAACTTCAAATTATTCTTCACTTCCACATGCAATTCTAACCACCATATAGCACTACCTAATGCATTTTAATATAAACAAGACACATCAATAATGAAAAGAAGTTCCTCTCAGCACCTCAGAAAGAAACTTGTGTTGGTCCCCCTTGTTCTTCTGTTCATCATGGATGTGTTCTTCCTTTTTCATAGCAATTCATTGGCTTCAGCAAAGCCAGTTGCTATGCTACAGCACAGATGGGATGCCCCTACCTGGAGAGTACCAAGCAGGGTTCCACTCCTCCTTAGGTTCACATATCTGCCATGTTCTGTATCAACAGATCAATTGCCCTGTATACAGATATTCTAAATGCACCCAGGCACCAGATTGGCTACTGCTGTTTTCAATTTCTTCTGTTCTGGAAGGTGGATGAGATTTTTGGGTACAGCTTTTTACAGGTATCTAGACCTAGGTACATATGACTTAGTTGTTAATGCTGGGTGAACATGAATCTTCATTGTACTGCTTTTTTAATCACTTGCTCTGAGTGACTTGTGCAGAGAAGAAATAATTCTAATCTAAAAAGTGATTATACTTGCTCTAAACAACTTGTAAGGACTTAATTGCAAATGTGTATCAAGATACAATTATCTTGATAAACCTAATATCTTGATAAATTAAAGGAAATGGTACGTGTGGCCACTTGCTCTGAAAACTTCTGTTGAGGAATCTCCTTCAAGTGACAAAACTGCATATAGTTACCATGCTACCTCTCAGGAAACCATTTAATAAGCAAACTAAGAAACAAAATCAAATATTCTGACATATTGCTTCTGGGGAGAAAAAAAAAAAAAAAAAAATATTAAGGTACACCAAAGATGCTTGCTTTCTTCTATGATTTTTGACAGAATTTGAAAAAAAACCACTTAATGTACTTTGATATTCCCTCATCTAGGCTTTGGCTGTAGGGAAAGTTGCAAAACATCCACAGCTTCTTTGGTCAGCTTGTGCCAGTGCCTCACCATCCTCCGAGTAAAAAAAACTTTCCCCTGACATCTAATTTAAATCTCTCAACTTCTGGTTTAAAATCATTCCCCCTTGTATTACTATCTATATGAAGTTTCCCTCCTGCCTGTAAGTTCTATTTAAGTATCAGAAGACTGCTATCAGGACTCTCCTAAGCCTTTTCTTCCCAAGGCTGAACAAACCCATCTCCCTCAGCATCTCTTTCTAGGCTTCAGCCCTGAAAGCATGTCTGCAGCCCTCATGTGGACCCATTCCAAAAGCTCCACATCCTTCTTTCCAGACATGGACTCAGTACTTCATATCATCAGCAAACTTGCTAAGGGTGCACTCAGTCCCACTACCCAGATCATCAATAAAGATGTTGAGAAGAGCACTAGTTCCAAGATACACAGCACTCTTCACTGGCCTCTATCTGGACACAGAGCTGTTGAGCACAACCCTCTGTGCTCTGTGACCCTGATTTAGGTTTTTGAGGAAAAACTTCAAATTACTGATCACTCATTTTCTGAATAAAACCCAGCAAAAGGGTATATTTTAAGATCAAAATTCAAATAAAAAAATCTATATGATCTAAATTTGTAATTTAGTTTCAGACAAGAAGCTTAAACAATTTTCCACAGTGCAGAAGGGAAGAAGACATTTTATTCAAACATGCTTCTAGGTGACATTAGTTCAGTTTAGCAATAAATATTGAGCTATTCCAACAGTAGATTTGATCGAAGCAGTTTAGCAGCCTGATAACTCAATTGTTTTTTATTTAAAAGTTTTGTTGGAATCTTCTTTGAACTAGGAATCTGGAAAAGCATGTCTTCCAGCGTGCATGTGGTTATCCGTCCTGAAGCTTGTAGTTTGGTATAAATATCTCTTAATTTGGCAGAAAAGTCAGGGTTTTTTTCCATCTTTTCCCTGGCTGTGGCCAGCTGGGGAGGGAAAACAATACACTGTCACAATTCAGCCAGCAAAGATCTCAATCAAAAACCGTACTGAAGACAAAGGAAAAAACCCATACCCAGCTTAACATACATAGCTAGTGGAGTGGCTTCTAAGAAAAGGAATTTAAGCAGTACACATACATGAGCAGGCAATATTGGAAATGCACTAGATACCTATGAGGGAAAGTTTATTACATTAAAAACTTTCACAAAGTAGTATAGTCTTATTTGCAGACCTAGAGTGGACTAACACAATTGTTTTCTATTTAAACCCAGGCAACACAAGTGCTTCCCGAAATCTATTTTCCAAATAAGCACAATTATTATTATTCCACATGAAGCTAAAAGTAGAGTTCAAACCAGTAAGTCATACAAAAGAACAATGGAAATTTCAGTAAACTATGCTATACATGGAGTATAAGCTAAAGAATGAATGGATCTGTTAAAAAAATTTAGTGAACTACTGTAAAATGAATGGGCTAGGACAAATGCTTGGTCTTCCTAGGTACTGTTACAAGTTTACAGAAATAAAACACTGAGACATGTAGTTTGTTTGCCACAAATATCCATTAACTACGCTTTGAAAGCCATACCTCCTCTTTACCTACTGCTTATGTATCAATTATTCTGCTATGAAGCAGCACTAAAAAG